ATGCCTGGTAGACTCGATCGACCATGTCGTGGCCTCTGCGGGCATCTCTAGAGTCTTTGTCGGATTGATTCTTTTACCAATCGTTGGAAACGCAGCGGAGCATGCTACAGCCGTTACTGTCGCAGTTAAGGATAAGATGGACCTGAGCATTGGTGTCGCTGTAGGGAGTAGCATGCAGATTGCACTACTTGTTATTCCGTTTATTGTGGTTCTTGGATGGATCATGGGTATTGACGAGATGACCTTGTACTTTGACGGGTTCCAAGTTATGATCCTGTTTATAGCGATATTATTGGTAAACTATCTGATCCAGGTATGTTCTAACACCCCTCTCCATGTACTGGTGGTCATTTTTTTAACGGTAGGGAATAGGATGGAAAATCAAACTACCTTGAAGGTGTCCTCTTAGTGGCGCTTTATTTGATAATTTGTCTGGCTTCGTGGTTCTACCCTGTCGATGGTACCCTAGCGCAGAATATCGAGGATTAAAAAGTAGAATGTTTCAACCTGTTGCATATTCTCTTTTGCTTTTATACATCCCCCCCCCCCAGGTTCTAAGCGCTGAAGTGGCGCTCGTGTACAACATACTCTCATGGTGGGTTTTTTTTTCCCTTAATATGTGATAGCGAACAATACTTTCGTTTTTATTTTTTCCTTGATTTATTTCCAGCATGGGGGTTTTTCTGTTTCTTGTTATATGGAATACGTTTTATTTATGGTCTGGTGTTCTCACGGAGTTCAAATTTTTATCACATCTATTATAAGTTATTGTCTATTATTTTAGTCGTGCTCTACATCGTAGGGCCCAGATACTGGTGAAAGGGTTAAATTTCCTCCTATTGTTTAGCTACTGTATATAATACAGAATGTGCCGATACAAAAAAAAAATCTTATTACTTACAATCACCGCATTTACAATGATTTAGCCTTGACGTCTCGGAGTCAACTTACGATTGGCCCCAAATCCTTGACCAAGCATATACGTACTCCAGAGTACATGTATTGCGGGTTTCCACAAGTAACCGAACATTGAGATGGTAACCATACAAACCACCTAACAACATCAAAATTTCAAAGTCGCACCCTCGAACTGACATTTTAGCTGTAGATACTATCACTACCGGAGAATCCATATTAAGATTCCTTTGTTCTATCTCCTTGTGGTTGTGGAGAAATACGCTTTTGAAGTTACATTCCCATACAAATTTTGGTTGCAACGTGAATGTACGCTTACTTATGGAAACCCGCAATACTTACCTACTAGTAATGGGCCAGCTCACGACCGCAGTTGATGTTAAATTATAATTAAGGGGCGCCTTCAATGGGGCCTTCGCCCCCCCCAATTCCACTCCTCAATTCTATTGATGATTCGTACTTACTAAGGACCCTACACCTTTTCGCCAATCACAACTTTCCAGAGTACCTATTCGCGCTGCCGGATTGAAGTCGCCCAGCCAAAAAAGTAATTGATCTGAATACTGTAAAACGTGAGCTTTTATTGGCTACTAGATCACTTCCCACAATTCTTTGGGCGGCTTCAAATTGGCCGTGCGAGTACGTACCTACATATTAGATGTTTTATCTACAGCCACTCATCAAAAGTGTTCGTGATTCGGATTTAATGTAACATGTCCGGAATCAAAGTGCCCATTGAAATGTTCAAAACCTCAACACAGCAACAGTCAATGGTGGTCAAAGACAATATTAGACATTCACTGTATTTTTACTTTCTGTTACTCACTGGATAATATTATATACATGTAGATACATTTTAGTTCTTCAATTTGACAGTAAAGTCTGGTAAGCCACATTACGCACGGGCCAACTTTGATGTGAATCACGAACACTTTTGATGAGTGACTGTACATACCGCCACAGACAGTGCGCCGCCACAGACAGTGCGCCGCCACAGACAGTGCGCTGCCACAGACAGTGCGCTGCCACGATAACCATGCGCTCCGCCCCGTTCATCAAAGTCAATTGCGACCTAGCATTTAGTGATGATCATGATTCATAATCGCACCAGGCCGATGCAGATTCATAACCCCGCGAGATAGTCGGTGAAAGGGAGAAGGCTATGAACCTGGTAAATGCTTATATCCCTCCCTTGTGTATCCTGGAGCGGTGATGCCTTGGGATAATATGAATAATATCCGTTGATTATTTTGCGTTTGTGGATTTTAATGGTTCGGTTCAATACTAGCTAGGATCGCCGGCGAATACGAAGGACTGGCTTTGAGTTTGTTCTGCTCATGCACCCCAACCATTTCAGCTACGACAACGATTGGGGTGTAGAAGAGGGGTTAATCGGTGTCCTGCATCTTCCTATAAACTGTCATAATCATAACTATATATGTCAGTCATGAGGTCTTACTAACAAAGAGTTGAGATTTATCCACCGACATAGCCATTCAATGTGCACAGTATCTCCCGGAAAGTTCACGGCAAAAAATTTGCCGGACCTCCGCTCGCGAATCAAAGACGAGGCTACGGCGGTGCTCATGAGCATTCAACGATCAACTCTTATAGAGCGTACGTGAGCGCAAGGCTAGAGACATCTGGACCTTCATCAAGTAATGATGTTCTATCTCAGCTTCCATGTGAGGCCCTGACGAAGTATATAATTGGTTGGTGATGATGATCTAGAAGACCGCATGCTCTATTTAGGAGTAGATGCTCGTTACCTCCAGTCCCGAGTGTCCCTTCCCTCAGTGGGCCGAGTACTTCTAGAGCCCCCCCCCCCCCTCTCAACTACCCAAATGTTGTGAATGGCTTCATCTCCATCACAGATCCTCAGGATAGCCTTTCTCTCACTACTGGCCGGCCTCTGTAGTATTTCTTCCTATTACGCTATATTGTCAGCAGGAGGGCGGGGCTGGTTACGTTGATCGATATAATACGAGGTATATAGGTAGTTATCCCTATAGCCATACATTACACGTCAAATAGAATTGAGTTTCTCTGTGACGTGTCCGGTCTTGCTATCTTCTAAAGAGCCGAGGAAAAAAATGACTGCTCAACCGCATAATCCGAGTGATACATTATGACGCACTCCGTCATTTCCGTCATTCGCGAAAAGAACCTGCATTTGAACGAGTAAAGTACATGTATGTACTTGTATCCTGGCTGCAGTACACTTGTACTTTCCTGACGTTTGTAAAAGAAACCACTATTGCATACCATATAAATACACGCCAAGTCCACAATTTAGTATGGTATGCAATAGCGGTTCCTTTAACCTGCATGTATTCATCTGCAGTTACAGCCTTTACCTCGTGTCAAAACGTCAGCACGCGAGACGTTCTCCTGTTGGTGTACCACTCCCCAACATGCAACATACAACGCACAGCGTACGCGCACTTTTCCAGGAATGATACCGCTATCCCTAGCTCGATAGAGGTGTCTATCCACTTTTCTTTATAGGACATTTCATTTGATAATCGATCATCTGAATTGATACTCGACCATCGAGAGCCCCGCCCTTACGTGCCGAGACGTATGTCTTTGTGTTTGTACGCTTCAGCCTAGTGATATACGATATCACAGACCCCAGATGTCCTTGTGTGCCTGTTGTAAGTTTCACATCCGCAGAATCCAAAGTGGCTAACAAAGTTACATAAATAGAAATAGAAGTTGATCTATTAGACCTAGTCATTAGTATCCTTCACCGAAGCGTGTTCGCATCTCACCCGACCAACTAACTGTGAGGAAAGCTTGAAGGTTTATCAACAGACCACATTTCCGTTTAAACCACTTTCTTTAGAACAACTCAATCTACTGAAACCCAATCGAGTTTAGGTTGAAATTTCAAGATTAGTGTCAGGGCCTACACAGTCTTGGCAGGATCAGGCGCAGAGAGTTATGCTTTTTGATTACACAGACGATGTAAATTTCATTCTCTGTTTACCGACGACCCAGGGAATAATTTGTCGAAACTAAGAAAAGATTTAGTTATGTTATAAGTGTAATACCTAAACAAGCTCAGTCACCAGCAGAGGCATGAACGAAGGATATATCCTCTCTTCACACGTGAAGCTAGGCTTCAACCAAGGCCTCCCATATACCTTCGGACTGTATGCTACATGCGGACCAGGCCCACGGATATTTATCGCCAGAGAATCTCCATTACACCGTAGCAGGGTATTCTACGTCAAAACTTAAGACCCGTTTGCCTATCTGTCGAACGGAGTTCTAGGAGACATATTTGTAAACCTCATCGATACCCCCACAACAGCCAAACGGGCCCTTAATTATATGGCTCTAGAACTCTAGATACCCATCCTTGCCTCGTCATAACATCGGGGTTGCATACGAGTAATAAAGTAATAAAGTAATAAATTAATTAATTAATTAATTAATGAGTTAAATAGAAAAAAAGGAAAAAATCCGTAAATCAATAAATAGACATTCCTAGTGTCAGGGTTAGGTGTATTCGGGTTTAAAGTGACTTTTTTGTTCGCGTGTTTAACCCACTAGTTAGCTTAATGTGGCTTCCTCTATCCAAGATCATTCTACCCAGAGTAAACTAAACCATTTATTGTCTCGTAAGTAAATACATGTTCTCAATCAACTCGTCCCAGGCCTTTCAAAAGAGATTTAACCTTGGCAGTAAGAAGCCGTCTCCAAAGACTGACAGCCACTGACTTAGTTTAAAAGGTGCGCCAAGGGTCCCGACGGCACTTCTGCGAGTGATACTCAATGACTTTAGTATAGTTTATAGCTATTATACCCATTCACAAAATTATAGGCAAGGAGTCTTGTCTAATGCTAAAAGCCGTGGTTGGGGCGTGAAGATGATGTTTTCTGGAAAGATTGCCTTAACTATCACGACCTTGATACACATATAATTATTATTCCGGTAATTCTAGCCAGGCCCATTGCCTAATGAAATATTAGCATCATTACGTAAACTAGTCCCTTACCTCCAAGTTGCAACCCTAGTCCTAGTTCCTGGGCAATGATAAATCTTGGCATCTATGCCACGTAGAAACACAAAAAAACTTCCCCGGGAAGGCTTGAACTTCCAACCTCCCGATGAAACTGTGACAGTAACAGTCGGACGCGCTAACCAATTGCGCCACGGAGAACTTGTATATCTATTGTACTTTAAAGTATATACTTAAACATTTAATCGAGCTTCCAACCGCACCGCCCACAGTGCCTTCACATATCATCCGATCGGTAAATTCAAAGGTATCCACGATTCCAAGCATTCGCTGGGGTTTTTTGCAACTCATTACTCGGTTAGTATCTACAGCTTAAGTACATGTGTCTGCTATAAAAGCAAACCCTAGCGACTCGCTCTGCCCATCAGGAAGGAACCCCTTACCTACATGTATTGATTTTAGTCGATAGGCTATTTTACCTGTGCAGCTATTACATACTTATGTAAGTACATAGAGCTACATACAGTATATACTAGAGAATTGAAATGAGAAATGCCCCGATCAATTGAAGGAAGATCGGTTTATGGCGTCTTATGTTTCTATCTCACAAAATGGGGAACAGTCAAAGCAGCGGCCGTTATGAGATTACATATTTTATTCTTCATACCACCCAAGCTAAGAATCACAGCTCACTCAGCCTCAAAAGAGTTGGGCTTAAGTTGTAGGTACGCACTCATGTATACACCTACAGAGGAATTGTAGATACATACGTTTCTTCTTTCCCCGTCCCTACCCCGTCCAGGCATTCCCTACCATCCAGTCACTCCATCGCTACTCCTCGAACTTGTCCTCAAACCTCAAAACTCTTAGAGCCTACTACATACCTGTATCTTAAGAAGTACATTACTGTTCAATTGATCAAATGATCTAAACCACCAAATCGATAGACACTAACCAGACCCCCGAAGTCTGTCGGAATACTTAGTGCCTTTTGCTCTCCCTTCCTAAATCGTACGAAATGTGAGTAGCTCAATAGCTATACTAAGATGATTCTGCCAACAATGTCAATTTAGAATCGAAGACTTGTTACTAATCAATGCCTATTTGTTAGATCTACATAGGCCTGATAGCAGGAGACTCTTGGCTTAGCTAGCCACACGCCACACGCCACAGTTGTAATAACGAACGTCGAGTGTCACCCTAGCATCGTCAACACCAGGATATCCGGATTCTACTTAAACCTCAAATGTCGCTCATAGAACCCCTCCGCGTAACGACACGAACTCCAATATGGGTGCACCCACTACTCTGGCGCCTTGACCACCTAGACGCATTTCACATATCCATCTCTACTGACACCGCGGGGGCCGCCGACTATCCCCGAAACGATAGAAGGCCCACCACAATGAGCCATGGGTTCATAAGATCCCGAGATCTTAGATATATACTCCAGGATATCAATCTCCTTGAAACTTATTTGGCCTCATTTCTCGCCCGTACAATCAACTCATTCCAGAAAGCACTAAAACCTAGGCCGTTTAGATTCTATTCACAAGAGTAAATAACAAATTCAAGTTACTTACCATTTCCCTCCACTCACATATCAGTACTTCAAACTAACAGACTAAAAAAACTTAATGGGTATAGTCAAAATCCTAGGCCTCCAAGCCCACTCTTCACATTCTTAAACCACGTTATGCAGATTCACCCCGAACTGGTTATACGTACCCGAAAGGGCTTCCCATTCCTCATATACAATTGCCCGGGGACTCTATATACTCTCCGCCAGAACTTTACAAACACCCGTGCAGGTACCGACATTGAATGGTTGCTAAAAAAAACTGTGGTTAAACTCGATTTCACACTCGAGGTTGTAGACCCGTATAATGTTGCTGCTGTGCTTGCTATCGCTCAGGAACAGCATTCGTGGTTTTGCAGGTCCAACCTGACCCCTCCTGAGATACTAAAGGTGCATCACCCCCACTCAATATGAACTAGTTTGTGGGTGAGCTTATGGTGGTGAAGGTGCATCTTATCACGCCGCATCCTACACTAGCCGCGGTACACTTCTACACTGCGGAAGTTCCGCTATGGTATTTGGAGGCGCTGATGGATCCCTACTTAAAAGTAGCTGGGGAAGTCAAGATACTGAAAGAGTTTGTAGAGCTTCCGGTTCCTCCAGCTAGTGCCCAGGCAGTTATAACGACAGGGCCTTTTCTGGAGAAGGTGGGAGAGATATTGGAAGAGATGAGGATTCTTAACTCAGTTTGAGATTTATTCCAAATGGCGCGATATATCAAATGTTGAAAGTGGCGTCATACTCTTTTCAAACTGGAAATATGCTTGTGGAACTTCTGTGCCTCCAACTAAAATCCTTAGGTGGAGATATAGCGTACTCGTACATGCTCAAAATTTCCTAGAACAATAGGTGATTCTAATATAAGTATAGCTAGATATCAATACTGCCCAAGTACAACAAGAAAAGCTGGATTTACTTCTCGTGTCTGGTAACTGATAAGGTACCATTCCGGAGAACTACATATATCGCCACCTCCTTATCATGTCCTCGAACAGTGTAGCTCAGGTAAGATATGCATTCCGTGAGACTGCTGGGCATTGGTTATATTTGTGTAACTAACACCCCTCCTCTCTCAAGCCTCGTATCCTACCACACACCTTATCCCACCTACCACACCCCGCCATCCCCACGGCCCCATCCCATGCGCCCATCTTTCCTATATGCCATTCACCGCTTAAAGTGGACAACCCTCCTATATTTTCCCACTCGATTATATTCATCCACGCGCGCAGCCAGCATGTGTTCCCGCCTCTCTCGTCCACCCTGTCCATCAAAAATAATATACCGCAATCGTTTCCGTCCATTCGGCTTATTCTAAGCTCGGTTGATATTGCGAGTGACGCGACATGAACACTTTTGGCGCCAAGGCAGGGCTGCATGACTCATATCACGATGGATTACGAAGAGACGGGATCGGAGAATTTGTGTTTGGGATCAGATTGTATCACTCGGTTTATTTGACGGTGCATTTATGGAGCTCGGAGAGCCAAACCAGCTTTTTTCTCTTTTGGTTCTGGCAGTTTCCGGGATACACAATACTACAGCTTCCAACATTCCTCTCAACCTCCGCCCAGCAGCGACACAAATTATCTCCCCGAACTCGAAACATGTAACATTAATTATTATATTAAGAGCAAAAAGCGCGTGTTACAAAAAATAAAAAGGGTCTCGGACAGATACCAAATTAAGAAAAATAAATAAATATTCCATGCCAACCCCCAACCATACAAACCTCTAAGTCGGCCCATAAACTCGCCCCGGTATTGTGCAAATTACGCCCCTCACCCACCCCCCCATCCTTCCTCCGCGCACGACATTCTGTAATATCCCTGGGTACTAATTATCGTGTACCCCTCCGTTACCGAGTCCATCCCTTGCCCCCGCCCCTTGGTGTCGTTCATGAACCTAAACTTGAACCCTAATCCATGCCGTCCCTTTTCCGAAAGATAAATGAAATCAAAACGCGAATTCATATCCAAGTATAGTAGAGTATGGCGAATTAGATGAAACATGCACGCAAGATAAAGGTTATGCAGATAATGTGCAGATTTGATATAATAAACATATGTATGTATGTAAATCCCCCCCCCGTCCACCTGACAATAATTGTTTTTGAAAAATCGAACAAAAAATTGGAACGCAACCGTTTTCAGAACAGAAGAAATGGACAAGAAAGAAAGAAAAAAACCCTAAACAATGAAACCAAGAACGAAAAAGATTTCACTATCGTGAAAAGAAAAAACAGTGAAACAAAAGCACAACCATGATGAATCTCCCTTTCCATCAAAGACAGCCCAAACCCGTCAACTCACCTCCGCGCACGCGCTCCTTGAACGAAAATACACTATGTAAAAGTAGCAAAACAAGCAACCCCGCGATGCCGCCAATCAATCACCAACAGACCCCATATGAACCATTTAAGGAAAAAGCCGTAGAAAACTGCACAGTAAGAAACAGACCCAAGAACCCAACAATGAATAAAACCATGACCCTAGAGATATTTGATCCCTTCAAGAACAGATGAAACGTAATAGTTAACAAATGAAATGAAAAAAAGGAATGAGTAGAAAAGAAAAAAGAAAAAGGAGTACACGCCCATCCTATGAATTATCCGTTCGGCAAACATAAGAAAGTTAATCCCCCACTGGTCACTGGTCACCGTTTACCACAAACCACCCTTCTTCTTTTCGCCACATTCGATTTCTGGGTTCTCCCTGACCCATCTCTCCACATATTTTTTGATCGCAAACTTGCGATCTTTCCTAACCAACTCCTTGGGCAGGCCAGTGTACAACGAAAGTTCGTCGTCATACTTTCGTCCCACGTTCTCAAATTCCAAGCTGAGATATCGCATGACACCATAAACGAGTTCTTCAGCGACCTCGGCAGCGTCAACATTGTCATGCTTCTTCGCTGGTGGCAGTGAGGCAACAGTGTAACCTGGTGATGGGGACATAGGCGCATATGAAACGCGAGCAGGTGCAGTTTGAGGACCCCCGGCAATTGCCAAAGCTGATGTGGGTGAGAGCATTTTCGATGTTGTCGATTCAAGAGAATCCGGCGGAGTTGGGAGCTGGGCATTTCCTTTGTTGATCGCGATACCGATCGGCTTTGCCATCGCAAGGTCTTCAGTAGAAATGCGTGTGTTGTTGAAACCCTTGTGCGATTTCTCCTTGTGTTCATGGTCGAGGAAAAGTTGCTCAGGCTCCGGGACGGGTACCTTAAAGCGCGAGTAAACAGGTGAGTGACATATCGGATAGTCCTGCTCCTCTTCTGTCTGCCTAGTTTCGAGGACGCCAGGGTCTGTATTGATAGCTGTCAATCTTGGGCGGATGGTTTCGGAGCTTTCGCTTCGGGCTCCGGTGGATGGACCAGGGTCACTAGCCTCGGTTCGGATCCTCTTATCGTCGTGCTTGTTTACATCCTCCGTGACGACGGGGAATGGGTACTCTGACTCTTCTTTGGCCCTCTCCCGCTCGCGCCCGGCAGTCCCCAGTGCACCGTTCTTCTTCAACCCTCGCTCCAACCCAAGAATATATCCAGCAAAACCTTCATCCAACGACTCTCGCCTGTCGTGACTACGCGATGCTTTGCTGATCTTGGAAGCGACATCCCATGTCGA